TTTTCTAATATTGCCTTATAAAATTAAGAATTTAAACTTATATAATATTAATATATGAATTATTAGCTACAATTTTATGCTATACTAATTGGTATAACATGAACAAAAAGTAGTTTAATTAAATTTTGAATGTATTCACTAAAAAACCCATGACATGCACAGTAAAAGATGCCTGTGGCGAGAAAGTTAAACAAACATGAAACTCATTGCACTGGCATTATTTTTTCTGTTTATTAATTTTAGTCATTTATTTAATAGAATTCTTTAATCAGTGACTTTTGTAACTTCCTTTTAGACAGCAACGTGTTTGAGTGTTAATGCATTTGTCAATTGTATGGTGACAGAATTAATCACCGATTCCTCAAAAATTTGTAAACCATTTTCATCTGAGTAGTTTGCTGAAATGTTAAGTGATAGTGACTTGGATATATTCAATTTGCTGGTTATGTATACAATGAATAAAAGCAGACATAATAAACATTTGTGTTGTAAAATAATCCTAAAGCTTCATTATTGCTCATAAATTGCTGTATTTAATTAATTTAAGCAAACTAGTGGCTAACAAATCCACGCTAATACTGTTTTTACAAATCCTCAAAATATGATATCCAACTGTAAAACCTAATATAATAGGGTAGTAGGATACATATGCCATGGTAAATCTATAAATATGGTATAATAGTGCATGCTTTTAATCCAAGATTGGATAAGTTATCTTATTAAGGAATCATAAGTTTCAGCTTGTTGAGAGCCTTTTTGTACATGCATATATTGGTCTACGGAAGGGAGGGATCACATATAACTATCCTTCCCTAAGATCTGTGGCATCCCTGACATTCCCCAGGCCAGGGATGCAAAATATAAAATCTACTGATTTTCCAATTTTCTTGACTCGTGGAAACCAAGTTTAATATGATACCTTCTGAAGTTACCAACATGCCAGATTAATGTAACCCCTTCTGGAGTTAACAACATGGCAGAGAAACGTAACCTTTTGTGAAGTTACTGACATGACAAACTAATGTAACCTCTTCTGGAGTTAACAAAATGGCAGACTAACATAACCTTTTGTGAAGTTACCAACATGAAAAACTAATGTAACTCCTTGTGTAGGTTACAGCATGGCAGACTAACCTAATCTTTTGTGAAGTTACTAACATGACAAACTTAGGTAACTCATTCTGGAGTTACCAACATGGCAGACTGGCAATCTTTTGTGAAGTAACTAACAAGAAATATTTATGCAACCACTTCTGGAGTTATTGACATGGCAGACTAACACAACCTTTTGTGAAGTTACAAACATGACAAACTTATGTAACCCCTTCTGGAGTTAAAACATGGCTGACTAACAACCTTTTTGTGATGTAACCAACACAACAAACTTATGTAATCCCTTCTGGAGGTACCAACATGGCAGACTAATAACCTTTGTGAAATAACCAACATGGGAGACTAACATAACCTTTTTTTAGGTTACTAACATGATAAACTAATGTAACCCCTTCTGGAGTTTAGAACATGGCAGACTAACATAACCTTTTTTTAGGTTACTAACATGATAAACTAATGTAACCCCTTCTGGAGTTTAGAACATGGCAGACTAACATAACTATTTCTTAGGTTACTAATGTGATAAAATATTGTTCACTTCAGAAGGAGTTACATTAGTTTAACACTATATGGTAAGCCCATAAGCAGCAAAAGATATTTTTTATAAACAGTCAGTAAAAGAAAAAGAAGACCCCTGTTTGTCTGTATGCCAGTAAATACAAAACTGTAAAGTTTGCAACCTTGCCAAGATGAGAGAGAAGTGTAATACCTTTTTGAAGTTATCAACATGAGAGAGTTTCAAGACAACTTTCTAAAGTAACACAGTAACTTCACCATGGCAAACAACTGTCTGTTTGAAGAATGTTGCACAAAGCTACACATGGACTATCTACAAACAACCCTTCCTAACTGTGGTTTGACAGACTATAGGGAGGGCAGCTAGACAACATCACTCCTTACCAAATCTTGGGAGGCACTTTACTAATGAAAAGTGGGATTGATTCTCATATTATAACCCTCCCACAGATGAAAGGACAAACATGTTCAGTGATGGGAGCTGAACCCATGACCTACAGATTGTGAGTTGAGTGCCATAACTACCAAACCCATGATAAACACATGTAAGCCCTTCAAATGTTATGAACGTGGTAGAGTAGCATGACACCTTTCTGAAGTTATCAAAATTAAAAACTTATGTAACCCTTTCTGGAGTTACAAACATGAAAGAGTTATTGTGAGATTTTTCTGAAGTTATCAAAATGCACAGAGTAAGGCAACACTTTTCTGAAGAAATTAACATATCTTCATACATTCTTCTAAAACTTTCTTATACAGGTTGAAAAACTGATAAAATGACACTTGTATTGAAGTTACACAAAGTCACATTAGCATTATTGTGTTCAAACTGTTTTGACTTTCTTCATAGAAGGCTGAGTGCTCAATTATAATATAACATATAACATAATATTTAGGGACAACAAGAGACCATTTGGTCCATCTAGGCTGTCCCATCCTTTAAACTAAACTAAAACTATTAAAATAAAGACAACCTCAAAGCCAGTCCTTATCATTTATATATTTATCAAGCTTTCTCTTAAACTCATTTAAATTTACTGCCTTCATAAGATCTGAAGGCAACCCATTCCAAAGGCCAACTATCTTGTTAGAAAAATAAAACTGTCTTAGCTGAATATGGCTCCTACCCTGAAAAAATTTATATTTGTGTCCTCTAGTCCTATCATTCTCACCATTACGTATGAAAAAAAGATGATGCATCAACACTATCTATTCCTTTAACAACCTTAAACACTTCAATCAGATCTCCTCTAACTCTTCTTTTTTCAAGAGAAAACAATTTCAGAGATTTTAACCCATCCTCGTATGACAACCTTTCCATTCTATATACCATTGTAGTAGCCGTCCTCTGAACCCTTTTCAACAATTCAATGCTCTTCCTAAGGTAAAGAGCCCAAGATTGAACACAATACTCCAAATGCAGAATAACCGGTGACCTATACAATGAAATTATAACCTCTTTGGATTTGTATTCAGTATTTCTGTAGATACAACCTAAAATCTTATTTGCCCATTATGCCCAGAAAAAATTAGAAAATTAACAAATACTTAATTTTTTTTTTCATTTGGTATCATGTTGAAATCAACTTAAAATTAAAAATGTAATTCATTTTTTTATGAATATAATTAAATAAATAAAACTTTTTATTAAGTAAATTATAACTCTGAAGTATTAAAAAAAATGTGTGGAAGGATAATGTCAAAGTTAGTTTCTATATTTCAAATTCAATGAAGAATGTTCCTTCAGGGTAGGATGCATCCATCTAGTCACCATGTACCATTGAAACATGCACCAAGTTTTCAAATATTCATTTTATTTAAGAAACACACTATGACTTGTAGCACAAAAAAACTATAGGTCATTGTTTTATATTTCTAAATTTCTTTCAGTACTTTAATGTATTAAGTAAGTGCATTTCCGTGAACCTTCTACCTATGGGTAGGTAAAAAGTGCACATGTCACAAACTTTTACAGGGTTACATTGAAAACTTAATTAAACAATTTACATACAAAACGATATATACAAATGAATTTGGCAATAAAATGTATTTGATAAATCAAATTTTAATAACATAAGTTTTAAGTTCTTAACCATATAAGAAAATTTAAAAAAAAATCCTTAATCTCCCCTAGTATGAGAATTGTGACATTTGTTCTTTAGCTCTTCTCTAATTTAACTGCCATTTCTCCCTGAAGTATGGAGCTTAACATAAATTACTCATTATAATATAAATATTACTAAGCAATTTCTAATTTTCATAGCCTTCAATCTTCTTTGTCTATGGAGACATAAACTAGAAAATCAAACCAACTTGCCATGCCCACTTGCCACATCCTCTCTTTCACAAATTGCCAATAGTTTTCTCTGACTTTTTATATAATATCACTTATAACCAATACAAAGATAAAGTTTTAACCTATCAAATAATGATGTATTATATTACATTTGTTTAGTACAGAATATTGTCTATTTTATATTGGGAAGCTTATGGAATTATTCTAAGGTTCTTTTGTGCTAGAAAGCCAGTTAAATTACAATAGTTATAGGACATTATTTTCTTTGTGTGTGTTATCATTCTGTGTTCTTAAATGCATTATTTAAGTAAATAAAAAATGAATTAATGTTCAAGTACCTTCAGTATAAAAAAGTAGACTTAAATTGACTGCAATTGACAGCAAAAAAACAAGAGGTCAGAGGTAAGTACTATATTTCTTGTTTTCCATGTATATTTTTCATTTATCGTCATAAAAGTGACCAAAATGTAAAACTTGGAAACATATTATGTTAGACTGGGTAAGGTAATAAATAATAATTCTCCACGAGATATGCTTGTGAGCAGCTTATTCAATACGGTAACCTGAGCTATGCATTCGCAGAGTGATTTACAATTTGTATGGCAGAATTATTAGTTAGACATGGTTCAAAAGGCAATAAAACAATAAAGTTAACTATAAACAGATGTAAACTGTTATGAGCCTTAAGCTATTTAGGGTAAACAAATGTAGTTTCCTGTTACAATTTGCAGTCATTCTAGAAGGAAAAAAAAGGATAATTTAGATTTATTTGAATTTTGTTTATGGTGGATACAAGGTTGGTCAAATCGACCAAGTCCATACATAGTTAGGGTAGAGAAAATAACATAAAATAGAAATTTCAACTGAAAAAAACATTTGATATTTATTTAGGAGGTTATGCAAGTGAAATTTGAATTTTTTCAAATACATGTCTCATATCAAAAGTTATAGTATGGAAACTCTGATGGTTACTTTGGGTTAACAAGGTCAGTGTAATCCACCAACCTTGTGTAAAACGAGTTAATATTATTGCAAAATTCAGAGTTTTAATATCTCAAAAAGAGAGAGTCATTACCATTTGTGTCTTTGGAGCGTTCATACTCCAATCGATTAATAATCCTATTTTTCTGGTTCTCAAATTCTAGTCTTCTCTTGTCCCTTTCTTGAGTTGCTCGCAACTCTCTTTCTTCATATTGCCTGCATGAGAATAAACTTTTAAAACTACATAACTTTCTACATACAAAATTTTAATGAATTACATTTCCACTGCTGACACACACAAATACAAAACAAAAACAAATCTGCTGAGGCTTTTGTCTAAAAATAAATCTCAGCAAAATACAATGATTGACAACAAAAAATTTTGATATATTTGTTATTCTTTACATTTTTACTTGAACACAAAATTTATACTCGTTTTACCTTATATTTTCTACTCCAATAGTGTGACAGAAGTCAGCAAAGACTCGGTCTTCTACTGTGTTCATGGCTTCCTTCACTTCAGCAATTTGAACTTCTCTTTCTTTCATTCTCCACTCTACAGACTGAATCTTGGGCTACTCAACAATTAATCAAACAATCAACATAAGTTTTCTATTGCAATTTGTAGTTCAAAATGTTGTTCAAAGTACAAAGAAAAATATTTAAAATAAAAAGTTTATATATTTTTGATGTTACAATAATTTGGTGTTCACAAATAAACTTATGTACTAAGAAATATATTTTTAAACAGACACATACTTTAACAATATAATATTAATTATGATGCCAACGTCTCTTCTAAGCTGGCAAAGCATGATTATAATTACTTATACTTGTCATAAGACATTAGTATTAGGCTTATTATGTTTTAAAGCTATATTATTTATTCAATCCCTTAGGGTTTTTAAAGAACAAGAGTGTATAATAATAGTTCATCCACACTATGTATGTTATATCCATTCTGAAGACATGTTTCACTCAAAATAAAGCTCATTATGTCAGCTGGGATACAGATTGAATCTTGGACTGTTCAATAATTAATCAACCAATCAATATGTAACTTAATGTGTTTTTCTAAACAGAAAATTATTAGATGCGAGGCCTGATGAGCTCTATATTGAGCAAAATGTGTCATCGACAGTTGCCATTGCAGATATAGTGTGATTGAATGACTTCCAAAAAATACTCAAAACTAGAGCACTTTCAAATGGTTCACTATTCAAAAGTACTTGAATTTTGGGTATTTTGTGAAATTCATTGCAACATTTATAGGTGATCCTGTGCTAACCCATCTATTAAAATAGTGTGGTTGAAATACTATTATACACTCTTTTTTTTCTTGAAAAACCCTAAGGGACTGAATAAAGAATGTAGTGTTAAAAAATAGGCCTAATATCAATGTTTTATGACTAGTTTAATTAATTATAAAATTACATTTACTTGTATATTCAAATCATTTCCTATTACTGTCAAAAATTAATATTTAAAATCAAAAACTTAAAATATGTAATTCAAAAGAAATGCTTACATCAAACTTTTCCATCTCTTTCTCAAGTACAGAAATTTCTTTTTGCAGGTTTGATATAACACGTTTTTCCTGCAGATAAAGAAAACTCCATCCTGAATTTAGATACTGATCAGGGTTTTAGCTTCAGATATTTATGAAGTAAAGCACATAATTTATAAATATTATGCATAGGAAATGCTTGAGAAATGCATATTAAGAAATACATGTAATTTATGCAAAACTTAATGGCTACGTTTCTTCAAAAGAAAACAAAGCTACTTTCTAACAGAAGGCTTAACACAGCAAGAATTTAGGTTATAATATGTTGTTCATATATAATATACTGAATGAAGTCAGTGTCACCCTCCTTCGCTTTACCTTTCTCCCACAGTCAACCAAATATGTGCAAACAATGACTACTGACAATCTGTTTGAACAACCCAAAGGAAAGGGGGGTGTTTGTAAATGGTATAGTATGAATTCTTATTTGTAGTTTCCTCTTGCATTGGAACTCTTACATGTTGATTTGGACACGTGACTGGATGATTTGTCTTGATAAAGTCCAACCTTATTGGTATCTAACTTGTACAAAAATTATATTTTATTGTGGCATAGTGATGTTCAGATCTTGGACATGTCCCTTGATAAAGCTAAACCTTACTACAAAATGCTAAGATTTCATATTTTGAAAACCTCTATAACTACAGAATAGGGAGACTTTGAGTCAGAATGTGTTACTATGTAACCAAGACATGTAACTCTAGAAGCGGTATCTTCTGAAAACCTGGAAGTAGATCCAGGGTACACCTACACCCTCAATGGAGACAGGGGAGTGGCATGGCTGTAGTTAGCTATAAGGCACCAAGGTTTGAACCTTGTTTAAAGTTTTAAATTAAATATAATGTACTATTTGATTTTACACTCATATGGAATAAATACACAATATGTAAGGCTGATCCTATGTTATTGTCAGTGTTTGGAAGTTTTCACTCTAGCTACGGCCATGGGAATGTGATGGGGTTTGCTTTGCCTCCCTAACCAAAACTGAGTTTAAGCATTTTTCTGAGACCAAAAAATGTATACCTCATCTTTTCCATCTTTCACAGTCACATTTTTCTCTAACCAGTCCCACCAAAACTTGTTCTTAACTGATTGGACAAGTTCCTTCAGTACTGATTTTGTGCTGTCAACAACAGTCATTTTGATTACTTTTTCCAAACATTTTGATTATTAGAATATGCATGACTAGCTGCTTCATAATAAAATACAAAAATCAGATGCTGCTCTACATCTCAATGAAATTTATGTGCTTTGTTGATTGTATCTAGTCTTGATATTTTATGTCTGTGGATAATTATGTAGTTTTTAAAAGAAGAAGAACTTGGTATTTTAATCATTTAGGGGGAAATTTTTATGACCATTGAAAATATTCATTTTTATCCATGAATTAATGTTTCTCAGAATGTTTTTAAGATTTCTGGTTTTATGCATGGGCAAAATAAGGAAATCAAAAGAACTGTGGAAAAGTTGCATATCTGTGTAACCCTTCCAGAACAGATAAATTTTAGACAACATCTGCACTTGCAAATCATCAATAGTGTCTGCAATAAGACCAGAGTTTTTAACCTGCATAGTAACAGGCTACAGGGATAGTGAGGAGAAGGGTGATTGGATATGCAATTTATTACCATAGATCATGAAAAACTTTGTATTCAGTACATTGAAATCAATGGATATAATAATAATAACAGTTAACTTTATTATATAAGTCAGATTCAAAAAACATTAAATACCACATTTGTTTGCAGACATATTTTCAACAAAATCCTCTAAAGAGTTAGTCCATACTGTAAACAAGAGACACCTTATGAGCTGTTAAATACTGTTTTAAAGATAGTTTAACTATCAGATACAGATATGCATCACTTTGATGCACCCGTTATATGGTTTGTATTATTGCACTGAGGAAAATAACTACTAAATGAAACAGTTTGAAACTTCAGAAGAATTTTCTCCTGGAAATGTAGTGTCTGCAAATAAAATCTCTTTTTTTTTGTTACATATGATATTTGTATGAATTTGCAGCTTTGAAAATTCCAAAAAATTTCATTGTTATATATTATTTCCTTAAAAAGTAATTAAAAACGTTTACATTTGTTGCAGATTTCAATTACTGATTTTTATGTCTTTCTACACTCTTGTGAAATTGTAAAATTTCTTATACAGTTTTATTTTATAAAACTGTAAATTTTAAATTTTAAGTGTCTGGATTTTAAAAAAACTGCACACAGTCAGTGTTTATGACCACTGTGCCTACAATAAAATAAGTATTTTTAGCATACAAATATTATAATCAAGCCAATTTTTTAAAATTGTAAATCAGAAATTTCATTTAATACATATAATAAGTGTTAATCCATTTTGTATCAATATATATGTATATGTTATTATACAATTCTTCTTGAAGATTTTCTTTTGTCCAGTCAAGCAGTTACTTAGGCTGATAAGGCCTCTTGTAAACATGGTTTAACAAACATTGACCTAGTTGGTGAAATAAAGCTTAATGAGGCCAAGTGCAATGAAGTAAAAATGATAAAGCAATCTTTCCAGAAGCTTAATAAAGATCAGGACTGTAACTGTGGAATAAGTTGCTTACAAGTATCTTTTCTTCTAGCAACATATCATCAAGCTAGGGTTATATTACTTTGTTCCAAACTCTAAGCAAATCATTACTGCAACAGTTTTAAAGAACAGAAAAGTAGTTTTTATTGCATATTCAGATTACAAGACTATCGCTTCCCAAAGCTGATCTTTAAGATACAGGCAATTACATACACCATGACATCCAAGGTAATGGAACAGTGATTTGCTAATATGGATAAAAATATGCTTGTACTATAGTAACAAGGTCAAATTAACACTATCTTGTTTAAAAATATTCATATTTCCTCCTAGGGTGCTATGAGTGCTGTCTTATGCTCAGAAAAAATTCAGGAAATTCATATCTGAACATGGAAAATCAACCTAAAGTCAAAATTAGCAATATTCATGTTGTTATGTATCTGTTTGTTTGTATAATTTCCTTGT